TCTCTTGCCTCAGCCTCCCAAGTAGCTGGGACTATAAGTGCCCACCACCATGCCCTGCTAATTTTTTGTACTTTTATTAGAGACAGCGTTTCCCCATGTTGGCCAGGCTGGTCTTGAACTCCTGACCTCAGGTGATCCACCTGTGTCAGCCTCCCAAAGTGCTGAGATTACAGGCTTGAGCCACCGCACCAGGCCAGCACATGGGATTTCAACAAGCCCAGCCCGTGCTCTGAGAGACCTCACATGATCGTGGGGAGACCAACAGGACCATTTCAGGTGCTGATGAGCTCTCAAAGAAGGAGAGGAGGGCTGCCCTCGGCAGGGAAGGAAAGCCCCATGTGCATGCTCTGAAGTCCCACTGCCTCTCTCCCAGGAACTCCCTCCCCAGCACAGCAGGCAGGTGCCCACTTCCCTCCTCTCATGTAGTAGCCCCAGATGCCTCTCCCCAGCTTCTGCACACCTCTGGATCTTTCAGCTCCCTGGGTTCATCCTGTTTCTCCTTTGCCCACAGAGCTCGGTTCCTCCCTGACCTTGACCTCCCAGCAGGCGTCCTCAGTGAAGTGCAATGAGAAGCTGAGCTGAACTCCAGCCCTACCTCTGGCCAGGTGACCCTGCACAGACCACTCTTCTGCTCTGAGCCTTGTTTTCTTCTCTGAAATGGGTCTAATAACGGCATCTTGTCAATCAAGCATCTGGTACGGGGTGGGAACCCAGTAAGTCCCACTGCCTGCATCTTCTGCCAGGATCCTCAGGTGTTACTCAGCCTGCTTCTTATTTTGACAGCCAGGGGGCCCTCCTGTGAGCTGTAGCTCTGCTGGTGTCTGGGGCAAACCACCTGGTCTTTATAGCCTTGCACCCACCATGTTGCTCCCAATCCCTGAAAGACAGTTCTAGGCCTTCTTGTCTCTACAAAGTGTGAGCTCCTTGGACCCTGGAAATTCTGGTACAAAGCAGGGGTCCAGGGAAGAGGTCCAGGGGTGTGTATCTAGGGCTGGGGGTTCAGGGGAGAGGTGACTCAGGACAGGGGTCCAGCGTAATAGTTGACAGCTCAGATTCTGGAGTCAGACTGCCCTGGGCTTAAACCTTGGCCCTGATACTTGCTGAGGTCATGAGCATTTGACCGACCCTCTGTGCTTCTGCCTCTTTATCTGTGAGGTGGGTGTGTACCTGGTCCTAGCTTGCTGGCGCCTGTCACTACTAAATGGGATACTTTGTGAAAAATGATTCAGCACAGCAATGGGCACTCAGTGTGTCTATTTTTCTTTTTTTTCTTTTTTTTTGAGACAGAATCTCTCTTTGTTGCCCAGGGTGGAGTGTAATGGTGTGATGTCAGCTCACTGCAACCTCCACCTCCTGGGCTGAAGCGATTCTCCTTCCTTCCTTCCTTCCTTCCTTTCTTCTTTCCTTCCTTTCTTCCTTTCTTTCTTTTTTTGAGATGGGGTCTCACTCTGACATCCAGGCTGGAGTGTAGTGGCACTATCTCGGCTCACTGTAACCTTTGCCTCCTGGGTTCAAGCGGTTTTCCTGCCTCAGCCACCCAAGTAGCTGGGACTACAGGCACATGCCACCAAGCCAGGCTAATTTTTGTATTTTTTGTAGAGACACGGTTTCACCATGTTGCCCAAGCTGGTCTCAAACTCCTGGCGTCAAGCAATCCAACCACCTCAGCCTACCAAAGTGCTGGGATTACAGGCACGAGGCACTGTGTCCAGCCAAATTAGACCATTTCTTTTGCACTAATATGCATGATCCTTAAGGAGAACCAGCTGCTGACACCGGTCCCGGAAGTTTCATCAGAAACAGCTCCAGATGGGGGACTGCCTCAGCAATGTGGAGGCTCACGGCTCAGGTTATAGGGCCGAGCTGCAGCAGGTGAAATAGTTAGGGGCCTATGTGGAAAACCCTGTGGGTAACACCCCCATGGGCACTGAGGAAGGAGAACTGTCCAGACCCCAGGCACAATTAATGCCTGAAGAATATCTTAGTTTATAGTGTTATTATTCAGCTATTTCCTTTACATAATCCTTCATATATAATCACATATTAGTGTATAGAATTAGTGCCTGAAGTATAACTTACTGCTTACATAGATCTAGTTTATATAATCATACTTAATACTTATATCTAACATACTTAGTTCTATATAATCTTTCTATATAATCACATAGGTATTGCAGTCGGAGCTGTACCGACACATTTAGTGCTGATTTATAGAATCCTTCTATATAACCATATAGTAGTTTGTAGTAGGAGGAATGCCTAGAGCAGTCACAGCACAGAAGCAGTACATGGGAAAAGAGCCGGACCAGGACAAGAACTAAAGACCCAGGCGGTGGCGTCCCTGCCTGAAAGGGCATACTCTGTATGGCAGGCTTGGAGCAAGTGTCTCTCCTTCTGATAAAGGAATTGTAGCACCTTGCATCCAGTTCCTGCGGAAAGTAGGCTTCAGGTCTGAGATCCTGGAAGTAACTGAGGGAGAAGAACCCCTCTGGTGTGACCGGGTCATGGCGGCTGTACACCCTGTCAGTCTTTTCTCGATTCTGTGCTAGC